AAAAAAAAAAAAAAAAAAAAAAAACTCACCAGAAATTTTTGCATATGAAAATTATAGAAGCCACCCTCTTTACTCCACCTGTTTAGCCCAGCTATTTTCAAGGAAGTATCTTACGCCTTGGTGGCCTCCAAAAACAAGGAAATTTGGTGTTTTATGTAAGGCAGTCGCAGGATGCTCCTCACAGAGGGTCTTTCTTCAGGCCTCTTGCTCAGCATTGTTCTTATCAGTTCGGCCAGCTCTGGGCTATAAGCTCTTGGCATTGGTGGAAGCTACGAAGGAAAATAATCCTGCGATTGTGACCAATGATCTTATGAAACAAAGTAAACAATGGTTTCCAAATATTTATTAAAGTCATATATCTAGAAGTAGAAAATATTCAGCATATTAGTCTATAGGAAGCATTCTGGTGCTGTGGGTGAAATAAAGCGTTGTAAGATTGTAAAAGTATTTCCTTCAACCCCGCAGTCCTACTGGAGGACTGATTCTCTCTTTCAGAAGGAATACCATGAGTTTCTAGATTTATACACCAGGATGTTCAATGCAGTATTGTTCTTGCAGGACTCAAAAATTGGAAACCATCTCAATGCCTATCCATTTGCATTACATTATGGTAACTTATTCCACAGAATAATTATGGCGCATCCTCTGTGCGTGTGGATGAGCCTGTCACTGAAGACAGTTTCATTAAGCTGCTAAGTTGCTCCAGCTGGGCTCACACTTGACATCTTTCTGCCTCAGCATCCCAGAGCACTAGAATACAGGTGTGGTACATTCTTCTTAAAGGATGCTAAGTGGTTGCTTTAAAAATAAAAGACAAGTGACCAGAAAAGATGTCCTGCATATAACAAGTCAAAGAAGAAAGTCAGGTACCACTATGAACAGCCTAATTTCACTTCAGTTTCTTTTTCTTTTTTTTTTTTTTTTTCAGTACCCAGGACTGAACTTGGGACTTTGCACTTGCCAGGCAGGCTTGGCACCAGTGAGCTACATGCCTGGCCCTCAGTGTCTTTTCTAAAAATCATCTCTGTGTATAGGTAAAAATATCCACCCAGAGTCATGTCTGTTTATAGGCAGGTAAAATCTAGGTGGTCTCACAATAAATTGCCAACAATGGTTATCTCCGAGGGATGGAAAGAGAAGAGAGGGGAGTTTCGCTCCTTTCATGTGCGATTGTTTAAGTAGTAGAATTATGGGCAAACTTTACTTTTTTTCTACACACACACACACACACACACACACACACACACACACACACACCCCCTAATGGTGCCTGGATGACTGACACCAAAAAAGGCCTCACAGAAATAACACACAATCAACTACTCTGCTATCTGTATTATTCACAATGCTTTCTGCAGTTCTCCATCCCTCACCCGACTCCGGGACTGAACCCAGAGCCTTGGCACTAAACTACATCCCCAGCACTTTTTTATTTTTTGAGATACAGTTTCACTACTTTGCCCAGGCTGGGCTCAAACTTGCATTCCTCCTGCTTCAGCCTCCCAGAGTGCTGGGATCACAGGTGTGAGCCACCATGCCTGGCTTACAGTTCTTAATCACTTCCTAGTGACTATGATGATTATCAAAGGAAAAAGTTAAAATATGGTGGACTCATCAGCAAGATAGCTCAATTATCCATCAGCTACTCAGGAAAAGATATTAACACCATCTCAGAGCACCTGATCCTCTTGTGACTATAGGAACAGGTTTTCAAAAGCTGATTCTTTTGAGCCATTAAGCCACCTGTACAAATTAATATTAAGAAAGGACGAATCTCATCTGAAATTCAACCCTTCTCACACAGGCAATCCATCACTCTTTTTTTGTTTGTTTGAGACAGGGTCTTACTATGTAGGCCTTATGTAGGCTGGCCTTGAACTCACTATACAGCCCACGATGATCTTCCTGCCTCAGCCTCCCAAGTGCTGGGATGGTAGGCATGCACCACCAAGTCTGGCAGGCAACCCACCGCTCTAACTATTCATCCAATATTAACAATTGCTTATCAACTAATCTAAATAATCAATGATTTTGCCACTAGCTATTTACAAAGATGCATTGTATAAATCTTACTCAATTAATTCCAGATAATTTTTACCTTTCCTTCAATAATCCGATAAACTAAAGAATTCATGTCTTTTGCATTGAAGGCATGTTTCAGAGTGGCCATTTCATAGACACAGCATCCCAAAGCCCAAACATCGGACTAGAAAAGAAAAATAGTAAATGATGAAATGTTCAAGTACCTCACTTACATTTTCCCCCTTTAACAACAAAAAGCTATTTTCCCTTAACTGAGCCACAAAGAATTGTAATTTAACCATTCTGAAAGGTTCTGAAATTCTGAACACTCTCCCAAAGACACTGTGAGCCACCGTGCACAGCCCAACCCTACCTTATAGTTGTAGGGTTTGTTTGAGAACAGTTCCGGGCTCATGTAATAGGGTGTGCCAATGAGGGTGCTTGCCATGTCACAGTGGTTCTCCAACACTCGGGCAATTCCTAGGTCACCCACTTTGATGATATTTGTTCTTGTTAGGAAGACATTTTGAGTTTTCAGATCTCGATGGAGGATATGTTTTTCATGCAAATACTGAGGAGAAGAAATAAAATTTCAGTACATTTACACTGATTTATTTTTTCCTGGCTTCTTAATATCATCAGTGATCACATGAGTTAAAGAGTTGCAGTCACCTAACCGCTAAAACATTATTAGTTTATAAACTCTAAAGTAAAAAGTCTACCCTAGGAATGGTGGCAGAAGCCTGTAATCCCAGCATTTGGAGGCTGAGGGAGGAGGATTGCAGTGAATTCAAGGCCAGCTTGGGCTACACAGCAAGACCCTGTCTCAAAAACAAAGTAAAAGGTCTAACACAATTTCTAAAGCAAGAAAGTGAAACTCTATATATTAATTAGCCCAGTATCTTCCAAAATTGCTTCCGGGTGCCTTGGCAATGATATCATTTTAATATTACCTGAATCTAGTTTTAAAATATGATTATAAACTTCCATCAATGGTAGGACGTCTTAAGTATCAGATGTCCACACCTTTCCCTATGAAATCCTGAGCTTAATAACATTTTCAAGAACAGTATACCAAGATCATTTTTACTTATTTATGTTTTGGGTTTCTGAGACAGAGTCTAAATATGTAGTCCAGGCTAACCTCAAACTTAACAGTGACCCTTCTGCCTCATTCTCCCAAGTGCTGGGTGTTTGCCACCATGCCTTGCTCCTAAGATCATTTTTTTTTTTAAACAGGGTCTCACATTGTGCTTCTGCCCAGCCTCAGACTTGCAGAATCCTCCTGCTTCAGCCTCCCAAGAGTAGGGATTACAGGTGTGCAGTACCACGCCTGGCTACATCATTTTTATTTAAAGAGTATCTCAGAATTTAAACGAAAAGGCCAAGTGATTCTAGACAAGTCTACCGAATCATTGAATAGCAGTTAGTTCTCAATCTTATTTTGGTGTACGTACCTACCAAACCACACACTCGCTTTGCGTTTCCACCCACTCTGCCATGGTAAGAAAAAATCCCAACTCCTCAAAGTTTAGAAGCATTAGCTCGGCCAGCCACTTTTCAGTATGACACAGCCGATCAGCTAATAACAAACATGGTCTTTGCTCTTTGTTAATGCAGAGACCTTAAAATTGACTTCACTATAAATATTAAGAGAATTTTAAAATTTGCTTTTCTTGAATTAGACATGAAATCTGGGTCCAACACAGATATCACACGGAAACATTCAAATGCTACAGCAAGAACTGAGTCTACCTCATAAATGAATCTTCCAAAAACTACATTTTTTTTCCTCTTTGGTTTTTTGAGACAGTGTCTTGCGTGTAGCTGAGGCTGGCCTTGAACTCTCTATGTAGTACAGGATAGCCTCAAACTTCAGTTTTCCTGCCTCGGCAACTCAAATGCTAGGATTCCTGCATGCACACCTTGCCTCATGTAAGCATTAGGAAAAAATTTTCCTAAAATACATCTGCCATCTTCCTGCCTTGTAGTAAGTAGTACACCGTGTGTAGCCAGTACCTGCAAAGCCATGGCAATCTGTACAAACCACTCTACCACTTGACGCTCAGGCAGAAGCTGCCCTTTCTGCTCCTTGAGCTTCCGGTACAGATCGCCTCCTTCACAGAAGCCCATGACAATGTAGAGCAGGCCGTCTCCTCCCTCCCAGGACTCCTTGTAAGTGACAATGTTGGGGTGCTTCAGCTGAGACAAGAGCTGAGCTTCCTGTTCAGCAGCTCGCCGCTCTCGGCTGGATGCGTTTCGGAGGTTCAGTTTTTTGATGACATACTAAAAGGAAACATATATTTTATTATGGAAAAATACAGTTCTATATGTTCCTAAGTATCTAAAAGCTCTGGAGAATGTCCTCAAAATCAATCTTCTAGAGCCTCTGAGACAACGTATTCATTTTGTTTTTTAAGAAACATAAAACGGGAAAATATTTGCTGATACTAATGATGCTCTTTATAAAAGAGATTTATGGCCAACGGAGGTCACAAAAAAATTATCATTTCCACCTGCATTTCACAGTTCCATTGAGGCAGAGGCCTATAGTCTCAACTGCTTTGGAGACTGAGGCAGGAGGATCACTTGAGCCTTGGAACTCAAGGCTAGCCTGTACAACACAGCAGGACACTGTTTTAAAACAAAACGACAAAACAAGTTTTCATTAATAGCTAAAGAGTGAGCTCACATACCATCAGATCAATCATAAAATCTCAAACTGTGGATATAACTCAGTGGTAGAGCACTTGCCTATATGCACAAAGCCTTGGGTTAAATCCCCAGTACCACAGGGAAAAAAATTATGCTAGAGATTCCTTAAACTCTTAACTTCTTACACGGGTGCATAAAAATGTGGCTTACAAAACTGGTCTATGAATTACATTAGATTTCTTTTTAGGGGGATACCAGGGATCAAACTTGGGTCCTTGCGCTTGAGAGGTAAGCCTAAGAACCACTGAGCTAAATCTCCAGTGCCTTACATTAGATTCTTAAAGGAATGCATTGTCCAATAAAGTTAAAAGTCACTGATCCTTAACATACAAAATTATTCCCTTTAAAAAAATCTATAATCTCTAATATCTAAAACACTACCCTCAATCAATTCCACGACGATACAGTTCATTTCTTCAATAAACACATAGCTAAGTGAGCTCTATGAAATATAAACTACTGCTCAGAGTGATCAAATAATCTCCCATCCTCAACTCAAAAATCCAATGATTCCTCAGTGCCTGGTGAATAAATCTCTTACTCCTGAGCTTGTGTTCCAGGCAGAGCAACAAGTGAGACAGGAAGAGCGGGGAAATGGGAACTACACGTAAAGGGTACATCGCCTCTCAATTTTCCTGGTGCAGCCTGGTTGTCATGCCTTGGTGCGACTATGGATAGTGTGTCCTTTCAGTTTCAAAATGGTCCCAGCTTGTGTAATATACGTTCACCCTGTTAACAAACACAGTGAGGGCTGGAGATGAGGATGATAAGAATGCTTGCTTAGTATATGTGAAGCCCTAGCTCAATCCCTAGTACCAATTAATAAATCACACTTAAGAACTGGTTTGTTATCCTTTGGATGATGGGATAAAGTGCTTTAATTTAAGGAAAGGAGTAGGACAACATCACTTTTAGATTTTAGAATGATCGCCGCCGCTGAATTAAAGTGAGAGATTAGAGAAGTACAAGCAAGTGGCAGGGATCAGTCGAGACACAATGGCCATAGCTTAGCTAGAAAAAATGGTACGCTGGACTGGGGTGGTACCGGTGGGAATGGAGAGACCTGTTGGTCTAGGGGCAGATGAACAGAATCGGGGTTGGGAGGGCATTAAAGATAACTCCCACGTGTCCATCTCCGACAACTTCAAGGCTGATGATGCTACTCACTGAAACAGGCCGTGAGAGGTTTGACGGAAGACGATGACTTGAGTTCTAAGTGAGTCCAGCAGGTTGCAGCAGAACCGTTTGGGACCCTTCATTTAAAGAGCATTGTTTACCAGGAACTGTTAGGTCCCGGGAATGCATGATCTCTGTACTCATGGAACTGTCAGGGATGGGGAAAGGCTGTGCAGATCAAGCACACTAGGAAAAACTACACAGAAGTAGAGCACGTCTGGGGCGCGTGTTAAAAGGAGTGTTGGCCTCGTTTTGGTAATCTGGAAGGGTCTGCCTAATAAAACGCCATCCAAGATGAGCCCCTTCACGTCACCGCGGCCTAGTCCTTCGGACAGCGCCCTCGGCCCTCCCCGCCCCTGCCGGGCCCCAGCCCCGCGGACCTGCCTGCCATCCCGCCGGTGTTTCACAAGCGTCACCTCCCCGTAGCTGCCCCTGCCCACGACCCTCACGTAGCAGTAGGCGGCCAGGGGCATGTTCCGGCCGCGGGCCCACAGTCGGGATGCGGCTGCAGCAGCAGATAGGGCAGTAGGCTACGGCTGTAGGCCCCGCTCATGCCCGAGAGACAGCTGTGGGGTCGGCTGCGTGGGCGGCCCGGCTGGAATAAGAGAACTTGGAGCCAGCCCACCGCGACGCCGCTACCATAGCGATCTCCGCCGGGGAAGTTGTGCGCATGCTCGGGCATCCCGGGAAGAGCAGCCATAGAGCCGACGCTGCAGCAGCCAGAGCGGTTCCGCCGCCACTGGAGGACCTGCCATAAAGACAGAGCGTTGGGCAGCTAGAGCGACTCCGTCGGGTCCTACGCACGCTCTAACGCTTCTGTTCCACGGTTCGGGTGCCCGCGATAATAAAGACTAGGAAGTTTCTACTCCCTGCACTCTTAGTGGTTCTGAGCTTCTTACAAGTGTGGTCCAGTAGCCTAGAGTGGTGGCGCACGCCTACAACTTCTGCATTTGGGGGCTGAGGCAGGAGGATAGCCACGAGTTCGAGGTCAGCCTGGGCTAAAAAAAAAAAAAAAAAAAAGTACGGCACAGTCATTGACTGCCTGTATGCTTGGCCCAGAAAGTTTGTGCCTTTCTGGAGCTCGCATTCTAATGAGCGAGTGACAGCACATTCTAGCTCCACCAGTAACATTTGCTATGTACGCTTTTTCACATACCTAACAGTCTGCACCCAGCACTTTGTTCCTAAAAACTTCAGCCTACTGGTTGAGAACTGCAAAGAACTCTCAATACAGTATAACGACTTACATCACTTAACAAGAGACTTGAGCCGACTCTAGTCCAACTTCTAACAGCTTAAAATCAGACATATTTTTTAAGTACCAAGGATCAACTTGGGTCCTTGCGCTTGCAAGGCAGGCCACACAACCACTGAGCCAGATCCCGGGCCCCCAGGTCCCTTTTTAAATGCTTGCCTGAGAAAGCTCAAGGATGGCAAATAGAATTTCCCACTTATTCCAACACCTCCCTTTCCAATAGGCTTTGCTTTTTAAAAAGTGTATAATTATAAATACTTTGTCTGTTCCTTTGGATTATATATGTATGTATCTCCCACAGCCAGAAATGTTTCGAAACCAAAATCTCTTCCTTTGAAATGTGATCATCAGAGAGGATTAGATCTCACCTCTATCTCCCAGTCTATGTTGGAGAATAGAATCCTAACTTCTATATATACATGCAGGTTATATTGGGTTATAGCTCAGCCTTGTAAAGGAATGAAATTCTGACATTCTACCACATGGGCGAACCTTCCATAATTGCCAACTAGCAGACACAGTTGGCTTAGTTACATTTACAGTGACCAACCCTTTGTAATTTTCTTTCTTTTATCTAAGTAAGACCCATACCCACGCCTCGATGCCCCCCTCATTGTCCCTTTAAAATGCCCATTCGCATCCACAGAAATTGGAATTGAGCTCAACTCTTTCTCCTACTGTTGGTAATTGCTGAATACAAATCTGTTCTCCCCTAATTTAGCTAATACTTGCTTTTGTTCATCTTTTCAATAGCATTAAGTAGAGTTCAGTATTTCTGGTAGTTCTTTTGTTTGGTCTTCTTGTGCAGTTGAAATCTGCATTGCAGACAGAATGTGTAAATCCTAAATGTACAGTTAGATAATAACAAATACCTTTACCCAAATTTATCGAGATACATACCAAGGATACGGAAAAATGAGAACCCTTGTGCTTTGCTGATGGGAATATAAAATGATTTAGCTTGCTGAGAAAAATTTTACTATGGTTCCTCAAAAAAAAAATCACACATAGAATTATCATATTACCCAGCAATTTCACCTCTGGTAGAGACCCAAAAGAATAGAAAGCAATGACTTAAACAGACACTTGCACACCTATATTCATAGGAACATTATTCAGCCTAGCCAAAGGTGGAATCAACCTAAGTGCTCACCATTGGATGCATGGATAAACAAACTGTGGCAGGTACATACATTTCAGTATTATTCAGCCCTATAAAGGAAAGAAATTCTGACATTCTACAACTGGATGAAACTTGAGGACATTATGCTAAGTGAAATAAGGTAGTCCCAAAAGAACAAACATTGTATGATTTCCCTTATGTACCTAGAGTAGGCAAATTCACAGAAACAACGTGGAATGATGTTAGTGGTTGGGGAGAGGAGGAAATTGGGACTTAGTGTTTAAAGGTCTCGGCACTTCATTTGGGGGGAAAATGAAAGTTCTGAAGATGGATGGTGATGACTGCACAACAGTTTGAACGTACTTGTGTCTCTAAATTGCATGTTTAAAAACGGTTAAAGTCAGGCCAGGGATTTAGCTCAGTAGTTCCGCTGCCTGCCTTGCAAGTGCAAGGTCCTGAGTTCAATCCCCAGTACAAAAAGAAAAAAAAAAAAGTTAAAGTCAAGTGAGGCATGGTGGCACATGCCTCCAATCCCAGCACTGAGGGAGGCTGAGGCATGAAGATCGAGATCAGCCTGGACCACAGAGTGAGTTCAAGACCAGCCGGGGCTACACAGCAAGACCTTGTATCAAACAAACAAATGATTGAAGGGAAACTTTATATTTTGTACAGTTTCACAATAAAAGTGTTATTTAAAGTTTTAAAAATATGGAGTAATGCTTTTAACCTTTATTTCTTTATCACACCCATAAGGAGACTTTTAGCTCTTAAAATCATTTTTCTCACTATGAAACTTTAATACCACAAATATACTCTTCATCTGTTTATGCCACAGACCAGTGTTATCTGAAATGTTTCCTCCCCTCCAAGAACCAATTTTTACTTTTTGCTTTATTGGAGACAGTATTCATTTCTGTTAAGAATTCCCTCTCTTCCGCTCGCCCTCTCTCTCTCTCTCTCTCTCTCTCTCTGATATATATTATATACTCTTGCATCTGGCATTGCAGCCAGCTTGTCTGTGAAGTTCATCTGTACTGCACTGATACCACACTGTGCATTTGAGGGTCTGCTTATTCACGTACCAGTCTGAACTGAGCCTATGGTAGACTGAGTGCGCCCAGTGCCAGGTTCTGGGCGCCACCACCGTGAAACTGAGCTGATGCCTTAGGAAAAGGGTATCACACAAGCCCAAGGAATCCCAGGGAGCGGCCAGAAGCTGAAGAGCCACAGAAAGGAAGGGTTGTGGAAATCTGGAAGGGTGGAACTCAGCTCCACAGGAGTTAGAAGGCTCCAGGGGAGGTGGCTGCGAGAATGTATAGTGTCACATGATCCATCTGATCTTCCTCATGGGCCAGAAAAACAGGTCAGAAGGTCACTGTCGCCCACAGACATTAAACCTTTGCCAGATTTAACGCTGAGACAAAGTCCACAACAAGCAAACAGATCCATGAGGCCTTTGGGCCCCTTGTCTCATCAGGGTCAGGGCAAGAGGCTGGTCCCTCCTCCCTCCAGGACAGAGTGGACTGACCCTGGGCTGTGACTGCCCCGTACGCTGGGGCCTGTGGCAGACAGGGAGAACTTGGGCAGAAAAATTAACAAACTGCGCATACGAGAAGAGTCTCTGAGACCTCTTGGATTTGGATCTTCAGCTCTGCCGCTTCCGTCTTCCTTGTAAGGCAGAGGACATTTCTGTCGTCTCAGAGCAGGCTTCTTTTGTTTGCAGACAGGCCTGGGTGTGAATCCTGGTTCTGTCACTTGCCGTGGACCAGTGTCCCAGGAATACCGCAACGGTACAAACTAGACAATAAAGGACTGAGAGCAAGGTGTGGTTCATAATGAGCCCTCCACTCTGAAAATGTGTTATTCCTCTTTATCTCCCCTTCCCCTGCCAGGCACCCTTGCCTGGGGGAAGCACAACGAAGCTGATTTATGTCCTTCTTTCCAAATCTGACGGCAACAATCCAGAAAGATGAAGCAACCAGCTGAAAGCATGGCTCACCATTAAGCCTCCCTCCCGCAACAGACCCAGGCTGCCCCTGGCAGAACCACTGCCAGGTCATCATTGCTAGAACCATGGGTGTGCTAAGTGTCACAGCACTTTCCAAGCCACTGTACCCACCTCTCTGGCCAAAGCACGAGAATTTCACTGATGCTTAGAGAATTCCTAGGCATGGTGGTGACACATGCTTGTAACCCGAGCACTCTGGAGGCCTGAGGCAGGAGGACTGCAAATCTGAGTCTATCCTGGACAGTTGAGTGACTTACCAAGAACTTGTCTCAAAAAAAAAGTGTGTGGGGGGGTGGGAGGTATCAGGAGATAAAGCTCAGTGTGAAGGCCTTAGGTTCAATCTCCAGTGCCAAAAAGAATTTTTTTTTAAGAATTGCTTAATGTAGTTTAAAAACCTTTTTTTTTTTTTTTTTTTTTTGGTACCAGGGAGTGAACTCAGGACCTTGAGCTTGCAAGGCAGGCTCAGTGCCACTGAGCTAAATCCCCAGCCCTTTAAAAATCCATTTTAACTGTGACTTCTGGTCAGATGTCACCATCACCAGACACAGAGTCTGATGTGCCCGAGGGTCTTCACAATGCTTGCCCTGAGCTCAGTTCTATAGACTGGGCCACAGGCGTCTGGTTGGAAGTTTACACAGCCCGGAGCTGGGACCCCCAGGAAGAGAGCTTCCACTGCTAATTTTCTGTGGTTTTGTTGTTGTTGTTGTTTTTGGTACCAGGGATCGAACTCAGGTCCTTGCACTCGTGAGGAAGGTGGCGGAACCACTGCGCTAAATCCCCAGCCCCTCACTGTTAACTTTTGATTCTGCACATTGCAATATTTGCCTTCACTGTGTCTAATGTTTAATCCATGTTTGTCCAGCACAGTATCGATTCACGGTCTGAGTAAAGTGACGGGGCAGCAGGAGCCTGGAGACCATGGATGGTGCCATGGGGCTCCGGAGGCTGCTGTGTGTGTATCTGGCGTCCCTCCTCATCCTGCAGGCCGGGCCCGCTTTGGGTTTGGCCACAGGCAGGTCCAAGGGCAGCGAGGTACGTGGCAAAGCCCTCAGGGCAGAGTCAGGCAGATCTGCCCAGAGGGGGCCCTGGAGGGACACGAGACCCCCACCCGACCAGGCCCTCTCCGCCCACCCGCCCACCCACCTCTGACTAGGCAGGTCACCCCCTGCAGGGGCAGGTAAGGCTGAGGGGCAGAGGACGCAGCTGTGCCCGCTCCTTGCCCCTAACGGATAGTCCATGGTCTCCGAGCTTTCCCACTCACATTTGGCCCTGGCTTTGTCTTGCAGAAGCGACAGGCCTTGGA